TTCTCATTTATGAATTTGTTCATCGTTTCACCTATAATTACAGAAACAATTAATACAAAGATAGTACTGAAACACATATAAATATAAAATTGTCCCACTTTTATAATAATTAATTAATCGAGGCTAACATAATTAATAATGCTGATCTAAATTGTGTCTATCACATTCTTTAGACAGATGTTACAACTTGGAATTATCTTGGAATTATGACGAATGAATTTTATGAATATAGTTGAAAATTGTATAGCGTTATGTTGTAATAACATAAATATTAGGATTATTACCTAAACTCTGTACATTGATATGAATCTATGTTATTTTGTTTCCTTTTCTTTCTGAATTAGACCAACATAATAACTTTAATATCCACCAATAGCCGCCAAAAAATATAGTATAAATATTATTTTATATTTTTAACATTATTAATTTTGGATATAATAGTGGATGTTTTTGTTATTTCGTCAAATAATAATCAATATTGAAATACGTCGCACAAGCACAGTATGAGTAACTAAGAAATTCTAGTTGTTTTACTACGGTGTTATTCGATGTTAAGCCTATTATGTCGGGCTGTGTGCACACTGTATCACATATATTTGATCTTAAAACGGTTTAAACATATTTTTTTGATGTAATTCGATACATAGCTAATAGTCCAATGAAAGAACATGTCTGTGATTAATTCCCAAAAGTTAAGTTCTCTCATTGGGAAATTGGCTGCGTTCCGAATTGCACGAAAAAAGTATCGAAACTTTATTGAAACCAAGTATATGCCTTCTATCATTATAACGCTAAGGTTGTCTGTACAATCTTCAGTCTTTACATATATGTATAACGTCGAGAATCGTACAAGTAATCCTAGTTGAAATGATATGAGGCATACATAAGGCAGTATGTGCGCTCGATGTCGTATATGCCTGGTCATTATATTTAGAGTTACTTATATGATTTTCAATTTCACACACATAAGATTGCAAATCGTAACTTTACTTATGATGGCCAGGCATACATTATGTATACATGGATAATACAGATTGTTACATAACGAAAATACCTAATCTGGCATCCCCGCCAAAGAGATTTTCGAATTGCATCTCTAATTTTGCTTCCTTAATACGGAAATCATACTTCTTGAATTTTATATAAGTTTCCCCATCTTTCTCATACGTTACGAATGTTTCTTTGAACGTAATCGTTGAATTATCTGAAAAATAATACAACGCAATCGATGATTGTCGACTTTGCGAATTGAGTGTTTGTCGCTGACTCAGTGAAGGATAAAGCAGTCACGTGATTTCGACTTATGGAAATAGTTATTAAGTATTGTTATGATAATTACGTATTAGTATTAGTTACGTACGTAACATCAATTTGCATTTCCCCTCTCCATGGATCGGCAGCAACAAAATCTTGCCATCCAATTTATAATTGCTAAGTAAATAGAAGTAAGGATAAAAAACCTCCTTATAGTTTGCGAGTGTGTTTTTGTTGAAACTAAGAGAAAAAGAATATATCAATTACGGTTACATGTATATTATATAAAGAGATCCATGGAAATAAGTCGAATCGAGTTAAATGAACTCAATTTTAGGCTTATATATAACGAACCAACTGTCATCATTTTTTCAGCAAAATATTGGTGCTTTTTTAATTTCATGTTTGTGTAGTACAAGATCAAAATGTAATCCAATGAGATGATAAAATTAATGTAACGTATTATCGGTCATATTTATCGATTGATTTATAATTCTTTCCTTTTTCACCAAAGATAAAATTATTTTTATTGTGCAGTTGGGTCAATTTTTTATAACTGAAAAAATATCTGTATCATACATACAGCTAAGTTTCAGTTTCTTTAATCTTTTATTGTTGACACAAATTCGTAATTAAAATTCTTAAAAAACTACATGACTCTAAACTTTCGTTTTATCAGACTTTTTCAATGTATGATTTATAGAAGTACATGCACAATCTGACATTTTAATCAATGATATCAGTGTCAATAATATTTCCTTGAACGTGAAGCCAAAATGGCTTTAAATGCTTCTGATATGTATGATACATTTTGTGTTAAAATTATTTTGACGACTCGAGAAAGTTAAACGATAATTACGTACTTTTTTATGGTTATTTGCAAATTTTTTGTCAGTCCGTAAACTTTCATATTCCAATATTCATGTTTTACTGCTACTGGGCCGCTCGCCTGGACAGTCATGTTACCGATTACTATGGGTTCCAAAGGTAAAATCCCTAACGTATTGTCACCTAGATATGAAGAGCAGCAGATTAATATCAATTGTTTGCGATCATAAACCTTGTAGTAGCATTAAAGAAATAAACAATTACATCTCTCGGAATTATTTGCGATTATTTATTCTAATACGTAATAAAATATTTCTATTTACTATTTTTCAGTTCTTTTACACCTATAATTATTACTCTTATTGATTTTCTTTCTCATTATTCCTTCATCTTGTATAAGATTCATATGAAGAGTAATCGATGTAATTATTTTCAAAATTCAAAGTAACATAAAAACGACTTATATACAAAGATATTCAATACTGAAGAAGATATTATATGACAGAAATAACTGCTATATAAATGTAGGCGCGTTGGGTTATAAATTAATTTCAGCTTTTCAAATGAAATAATATATTGTAGTTTTTTTTATATAATCCGGCCTCTCTCTCTCTCTCTCTCTCTCTCTCTTTATATATATATATATAATATCTGGTTATATATAATTATATATGGCAAATTTTTTCCTGAGTAATGATATTGCATTGCGCGTTAAAAAGTGATGTATATACTTGCCTTTGGCTAAAATGTTCAATCCTATTTTAGCAGCCTCGATGTAACATTTCTCGAAGTTCGGATCCGATAACTTACAAACTTTGAAACCACTGGCTGCAAACGGGAAGATAATTTAAATATTTTATATAACTCGATAATTTAAATATTTTATTTAAATTGACAAAAAAAAACAATGTTGAGCCCAATGTAACACCAATGAAATGTGCTACTAGGGATGTATGTATTATGTTATACAAAACTCATTTCCATATATCTCATGAAACGTATTACAAATTTGCGTAACCAATGAATCACGATATTTGACTTCACTTATTCCACTTACTTCACTTTAAGTAAAGTTACAATCGTCGATATCTTATCATAAAAAGTTCAATAACTTCGAAACGGCTGATTAAAAGATGATAAAATTATAATGTTTTGAAAAGGTCTCAAGAGTTTTCAAAAAGGCGTTATTATAATATATATAAGCTTTTAAATACATTGATTTTTTCTATAAACGTTTAGAGTGCTTTTATTATCTTTTTGTAAACATTTGTGAATATAGTTGTCTAAAGGATAACGTATGAGAAATTTCATAACTCGGACATGTTAAAAATATGTCTTATACATGCCGTTTTTGAGTTTCTATGTTAAGTTTCTCTTCAATATCTCATTTGGATATTTCAACGTTTCTTAATAAAAACAATAATAATATATGCCTTAAATATAAAAATTAAATAATTATTATCTAAATAGCATACGATATCCTATGGACGTTGTGTGGACATCTTGTGGACATGCTAAGGACATCGGGACGTTCTCAGGACATTTTCAGGACGTCCCTAGGAGATCTGTGCTGTTTGAGTATATACGAAGGTGGATTAAATATAAACGAGCCTTTTTAAATTGCACGTCCGTCGGCGGCGTGAGGGGTCGGCAACGTTTTGGACAGTGGAGGGGGATGATGTGGAAGGCAAAAATAACGCTGGCGCGTCACGTGCTTCTTACTCTCAGCAGCAATCACGATGAGCGAGAAAGAGGTACACCCTGCAGTTGTACAACGTGTTATTATTAAGTTTCTCGTCAACGAAAATGTAAATGCTGCTGAAATTCGCTGCTATTTACTCCCACAGTTCGGGGAAAGAACCCTTTCATGGGCTCGGGTGAAGCAGTGGTGTAACGAATTTAAGAAAGGACGGGAGCGTGTTGAAAATATTGCTGCCGTCCCCGCACCAGCATCACAGCGCAGAATACCGAGGCTGTTCGAAAACTTATCGAAGGCGATCGGCACTTAACTGTTCTTGAAATCTCTCAGGAACTTCAGTTCGAGCTGCCTATCGGTTAAAAAGGCGCGGCATTCCGATCAGAAGTGTGTTGCTTTTCCATGATAACGCCAGACCCCATATCGTAGTAATACAACGAAAATTGGGCACTCAAGGAAACCCTTGGTGGACAGCGCTTCATAACGAACGAGGAGGTGCAGCAGTTCGTGTGCAATTCGTTTGATACACGTCCGCGAACCTTTTATGATACCAGGATAAAAAATTACCAGACCGTTGGAGGAAGTGTATAGATAAGATGGGGGACTATGTAGAAAAATAAAAAAAATATAAATTAGAATTGATTTTGAAAAATATGGTTTTTTTTGCAAAAGGCTCGTTTATATTTCATCCACCCTCGTATATGCTGAAAGCTAACGGAATTGTACAATCAACCGTAGATGAAAGGATTAAATAATTTTTACTTAACACATTGCATGCGGGAAACGTATTTTTACGTTTTTTGCAGTCTGTCACTAGAGCGCGGGTCACGTAAAAGTACGTATTTAGTAGATTTGTGTTGGGGAGTGGGTATCGTATAAATATGATGGGCATTGTAAATGTGTACATTTTTTTAATTAAATAATCGTAGAGCATATATTTAAGTGTAAAATAAAAAAGTTTCGTTGAGGAAAACGAAGTAGTTATTGATTTATTGCGATTTTAGTGAATACTCTCGCGAAATTCACGAAAAAACGCCCGCTACACGCGTAAGTTCGCGGCGAAATATACCCGCATGTGTTAATATGTGGATAATAGCCAAAATGTTAACATTCAGGTTATAGCATTGATCATATATAATTAGGTACTTGATTAGTTGCATTGATCTAATATCTATTTTTAAGCAAAGTTAATATTTGAAATACATTTATTTTTCAAAATTCGGATAAAATTAATTTTTGAAATACATTAATTTTTTTAAATTATAAATTTCCAAAATTTTCAAACATATGCTTATTAATGTATGCGAGTTTTGAATGTTTTCTTATGTATTTGGTGTTTTTATTTTTGAAAGGATTTTTATTAGGATAAAGTACATATCTTAGAAATTATGCGTTTGATTATAGCTGACAAGATGTTTTCTTAGGTCTGTTTTTTTTCGCTACACTAAAACTGCACTAGAATTGCATTGAACTGAACTGAACCGTACTGGGAAAGACTAGTACAGAATAGTTCGGTTCAGTGCAAAAGAGCAATGAAGAGGTCTGTTCGTTTTCGCCGCACCGCTGAAACGCTAGAGCGTAGTAAACAACATGGCGCATCACATGGCATTATTTGATTCTTCTGACGAAAAGGATTTTGTTGTAATATAACCACTATTTCATAGCAAATTTATTAATAATTTATAATATTATATACCCTACCGATCATAAATTTAAATAAATGTCTAAATATAAAATAAATATAAAATCATAAAGATATCTTAAATTTATCCTTGTGGTATGTTTGAACATTTCTGCTATGTATATGTGTGTGATGGTATAATATTAACAATTTTTGAAAATGAAATAAAGAAGATGTTTCACACATTTCAATATAATGCAAGCTACTTACCTGATAGAGACTTTTCGTATAAATTTCCGTTACACTTACATGCACTTCCAAGCTACACTTTCATGCACTGCACTGACCACATTACCTCCTGACTTAGCGCAACAGTTCACTGAACTGCCTGCACTACATGCTGTTGTATTGTGAAAACGAACAGCGTTGATGACGTCATGATTATGTCATTCTCGATAAAAAGAACGCTTTAGTGTAAACTCCTTGTACTGGTGTGCACTAGTGCAGAAAGTGTTTCGAAAAAAAATAGATCTCTTGTTAACTTGAATTGTCTACGCAATCACAAATATATTACGCCATTATATAACAAAAGCAATTTCAAAGAACTGCTTACTTTTTTGTCAAAGCCCACTCACATTAAAATATCACATAACACATTCATATACTAACTACGTTTGTACTAACTACGTTTGTTCGTTTCTTCAAACGATTTGTTATTACAGAATGTCTAATTTTTGGCTTGTATTCTATAGTACTATATCTTAATAGATTGTATATAAATTTTAAGGTAGATTGCTCTGTTTGTGTACATTTGAGAGCCGATTGAATAAGACGCCTCGATTGCTTACATGAAAATGGAAAAATCAGAGAAGCGTGCGGTCATCAAATACTTCTATTTAAAGGCCTAACTTGGTGAAGAAAAAAATCCTGTTTCACCATAACAATGCAACTGCCCATTCGTCGGTCGTTGCGATGGCTAAAATCAAGGAATTGAAGTTCGAATTGTTCCCCCAACCAGCATATTCACCAGATTTAGTCCCCAGCGACTATCATTTGTTTCCTAACTTTAAAAAATGGCTTGGAGGTAAAAAATTTGAGACCAATGAGGAAGTCATCGATGCTGTAAATGAGTATTTTGAGGGACTTGACATATCGGACTATAAAAATGGTATCACTGCATTAGAGCACCGTTATGAAAAATGTATAAATCTTGATGGAGATTTTGTTGAAAAATAAAACGAAAAAAAAAACGAAAAAAGTTGTTTTTCTTTATCAGGCCGGAAACTTTTCACCCCACCCTCGTAACTTGTAAGACAAACACTTCCTTCACTTTTATATTTCTTTTAGTTTAAAATTGTTTAAAGTTTCGATATCAGTATTGATATCGATATTTTCGTTTTGACATTAGTATTACTAATGATATCGATATTCTTGATACAACGGCTGGATTAGACGGTTGTACAGATATCGTAACACTCTCTTTTCAAATTCTCATGTAAATATTATTCAAATTAAAAATAATAATAACAATAGGAATGTTTTATTTTACACATTTTACACATTATCGACCGTTCGCAGAGTCTAAAATTTATTGAATTTATTTAACTCAGCATCTCTTTTTGTTGACATTGTTATTATGAAATAACTAAATAACAATGTTATTAAGAAATACATCTCAGTCGATGTGACGAAAAGATATTTTGGCGATTACTTACGAAAATCTACCGCCATGATCATAACCACCATGGATAAGAGAACAACCGTCGTTTTCATTGTTGCTGGGTCTTTTCTTACACGTTAATATATTGATTGAAAGTCAGATAGCTTCTGTGAATGGAAGTTGTCAGTGAGCGTTGAGGAAGAACTGCAATGCATAGGCACTCAAGCAGTCTATTCAAATACTGCTCGCCCCACCTGTAGTTCGAATGGTGATCATAGTTCATATAAATATGCTGACACATAGAAGCGAGCACACAATAGAAGCGAGTACATACATTCATTGTTATATTGACAAATTCAGGAATAAATTCATTTGCAAATATGACTTATTACTAATTCGATTTATAATGATTATACTAAAAGGATATCGATCACACACGTTTCTGCTGACGAACTCTACCGGCAAAGAGGCAAAAAGATTAATAAAGAAGTTGTATTCAATGATGTCACTAGGATTTCGGCAGAAATCTACGATGAAATTTGCTAACAAATGGTAGGCAATAGTCATTTGGTTATAATTTGACATTAGAAACAATGATATCAGTTTGCGGGCATCTTCAGACTGGTGGTGCCACGCATGTACATACGCATTTAGGCTTGTCGGTTAGTTTCGGATAGTAATAGAGGACAGATATATGATTTTCCTCTTCTCCTCCGCTGTATGTTATTTTGACATTTTGACCTGCAGTTTTTTTATGACTGTTCGAAGTGAAGTTTCTTCAAACTGGAATGCAATCTGAATTTATGCAGAGTGTCTGACGTCAGTCATGCTATCCGTTATATACTTGCAATTTAGGTCAATGTGAACAAAAAATTCTGTATCATTTTACAAATAACACGTAAATTTTTTAGTTATTAATTGAAGAAACCTTTATATGTGGCTATTCTCAATAATTAACAACTCGTAATCTGACGTGGTTGTTTGCAAAATAGTAAAGGACTTTTTTGCTCACATTGATGTAAATTACAAATATATGACGGATAACACGGCTTACGTCAGGTACTCTATATAATAAGCGCGGATGGTAATCATTGATGATCATACAGCGAAAGAGAGAGAAGGACAGAAGATCATATATCTGTCTTTTTTTACTATCCGAGGATAACCGACAAGCTACGCACATATACGTGGTTTCTCTTTTGAGTGCGTATCTCTTTTACCTGTCTTACAGAGCCATGTCTGCAAATTGGTATCACTAATTAAAATTACTGAGCGATCATTTTGCATCGTTTCTATTTCTTAAATATCTTTATTCTCAGATATTTTCAAATATTTTTTGCGTAAAAGATAGGATTTTGGAGTTTTTCTAATTTTTCGTCGAGTATTTTTTTTATTCTCTTGAAATTTTTTTTGCCATTTTCCTTTTTGTCTTCACAAATAATTCATTGGAATATCCAAAAGTACCAAGTTATAAAAATAATTTTTGCTAAATTTTTTCTTCTCAATATTCAATTAATTTTTTTCTTTTCGATTTTCAGTTAATTTCTTCTTCTTAATTTCCAATTAATAACAAAATGTGTCCATAGACGATATGTTATTCTACTGGGAAATAATTGCGTAAGATGCAGGATAATCGCGACGAAAGATAAGGTGATATTTATCATTTGGTCGTCGGACTGTTTCTCAAGTTTCTTGAATATTTCGCAACTGTTAGAAAAAACATAAAATTTACATTTACGATTTATGAAATGCATCGACACGTTCACCGTTCGGCATTCTCGAATCTCCGTCTTCGCTGACCTTTATAATGTCGCAGTTATATTCTAATTAAGAGCACGAAACATTTCGCTCAGTATGGACGGTCATCGGGTGTTTTTGTTGCACGGATATTTTCTTATTTTTCAATCTTTTTCTTAGAAGAGTTTGTGATTGTAATTGCATTCTAGACCTCTGAAATAATTCGAACTGTCACCTGAGACAGACAGACATTGGTAGATGTCTGTCCACGACGTTCGACTTGTGAATTCTAAATCAAACCCGTTTACTTAGCAAAAACTGGATCTTAATGAAATTCAGACATTCATATTTACGCATTCTTATGCATTATAATATGCAATATACTGAACAGCTTGGCAAATGATAAAATAAATTTGATCTGAATTCTACAATTGGCCTTAAGTCATAATATAAAATTTGAGAGACTCTAAATCCAGAAAGCCATCCGTTCCTTTTTTCTTAATAATTTATTATTATACATATGATCTTATGTTCTTTACATAATTCATTAATTACGCGTTGATCCTACATCACTTTTTATCAATAACCCATTATTAATATATTGGAAAAATACCAAATGGTTTTTTAAAATCATAAAATATTAAATGAATTTATGCGTGACGTCTTTACGACGTAATAGCAACAAATTCTCACTTTAAATTCTTAAATCTCCATAAAGAACTTTGACATTTCTCTCTCTCTCTCTCTCTCTCTCTCTCTTTCTTTTTCTGCCACATATCATGCGGGAGAATTGAAAAAAATATTTTGTACTGATCTTTGATCTATACTCAAATGATATCTGAATGGCGATCAGTCGATAAAGTAACAGATAGATATAGCAACGGCAGCAGCATAAAATTTCATCACTTCTGTCTTTGATTAATAAATTGCATCAATTATCGAAAAATTTAGAATGATGCGGCATACTGAAAATGAAATTCCGGAGAATTAATCAATCGGGAGGGCAAGAAAAATAAAGGCTTTTTGAGATTTTCGCGATTTCGACGAAACAGCAAACCTCACACCGATGAGAGAAAAATCGTCTTCTAATTCAATCGATCAATCGAGTGAGTAGTCGAGAATGCGCTGAATCTAATCTTCTTTTCATCATATGAATAATATATAGTATGAATAATAAGAAAAATATAACAACACTAAGCGTGCGCAGTAGTTCATGTCTTGACGAATAGGCATTGAATCAAATGCTTCGAAAGCAATATAGTTGCGAAGTAATCACGCAAGATAAAATTGGTTATGTGCAATACATGATATGAATTATAGCGATTCTGATTATAGTCGATTAAATTGTAATAAGATATTGTGGAGTATGCAGTGCGATGTGTAATGTGCGATGTGTAGTGCAATGTTATGTAATCCTGCTATATACATCTTTTTGATTACAGAAATCATGCCAGCGTGATTTGACGTGACGTGACAATACAAATATACACACGCATAATTGAAAAAGAAGATTATACAATTTCTTAATTCATATACATAATTATTCCTTTTATTAACAAAACATTTTTGTACTACAATTTTATTATTCCGGGTATTTTTATATTATTCTTTCACAAATTTCGTAATTTTAAATACGTTTTGATTATATGTAATTGTTTTCATGTTCGAATTTCGCGGTTGTATTTGGACACAAATTTCATTGATTACATTATATATCGTCGCTATTATATGCAATGTTACAATTTTCTTCTTATATCATAGTATCAATCTGTTTCTAACATGTCAAAAATAATGCGAGAAATTGTCCTCTGAAAATTATATATATATATATAATAATACTTAAGAAATAAAACACATGACCTACATATCGTTCTACATCTAAGAATTCTGATGAATCTCCTCTAATTTTGTCCGCACATATGGTGGTTAAAAAAATACAAAAGAACTAAAAAAGAAACTAAATATTAAGCGGAAAAAAAGAAATAAAGTGAAGAGGAACAAAAATGTGATGGAAAGATTATGTACCGTACAATTCAAATTCTATTTGTGGCATACATATGTGGCGGTCGAGCCTCGCCCGCCGTGACCAATAACTCCTGCAATCGCTCGTCTTCGCATTTTTGTGGTCTACCAGAGCGCTCACTGTCTTTCATATTGAAATCACCATTTTTAAATTGTCGAAACCATGTCTCACATGTTCTAATCGATGGAGCGTGTTCACCATATGTTTCTACCAGCAAACGATGACTTTCAACAGCCTTTTTCTTTTGATTAAATAAGAAAAGCAATGCGTGCCGCAAATGTTCTTTTTCAGGCACAAAACTCGACATGATCACTGAACGATAAAACAAAGACGCTAGTTTTTGGCGGACTCAACTTGTGTGTGTTTGTAGTTTTAAATGTCAGACGAACAAAATGACGTATGTGTCAAATTAATACGCTGCGTACTTTTCGCTGGCGCCATCTCTTAGTTAAACCGGAAAAAACTTATGCATATACCTGGTACATATAAGGAGAGATTCGTTGAAATAATTCAATGTCAGGTCTGTATATAATGAACCAATTGTCATAATATTTTGAGTAAAATTTTGGTGCTTGTTTAATCTCTTGTTTATGTAAAATAAATTCCAAATGTAATCTAATGATGTGATCATAAAATGGACACAATATATCATCGGCCGTACTTATCGACCGATTTATAATACTTGATTTTTTCACCAAAGATAGAATTACTCGTATTACGCAGTTGGATCAATTTTTTTGTAATTAAAAGAATATCTGTATCATACATACAGCTAAGTTTCAGTTTCTTTAATCTTTTATTGTTAACACAAATTTTTTAGTTCAAATTCTTAAAAAGTTTACATAACTTTGAAACTTAGCCGCTTTTTATCAGATTTTTTTCAGTGTATGATTTATAGGCACATCAATAATCTAACATTTTAATCAATAACTTGCATATCAGTAATATTTCTGAACATGTAGAACGATATTTCCTAACTTTGAAGGATGAAGCTTTTTTTCTTTTTAACTGTCATGATATTTGCTAATGAAACGTATATAAGATAAATACGGATTAAACAATATCATTGTTGTAATTGAATTTTTCGTTGCTTGGAGGCGAAATGAAATCTCAGTTATAGGAACAGAAATATTAATGTAGAAAATTTTTGCTCAGTCAATTGCTTAGCCAATCTCTGTTTCAACCGAGTTTTAATATAGCTGAACATTTAGACGAATGTTCTCAGAATGGAAATATCATTTTTTATTACTGAATTTTCATTTTTGTCGCCGAGTTTTCATCTAATCCCTATTCAGTTGCAATAACCGAGATTTTTTCCATGCATTGCACTCATTGCATCCTGCTTACACTGGGTATTTAGAGACTAATTCCTTCCAGCAAAGACCTGGTTTGTGTCGTCCTCGTTGTCGCTAAAAGCGCGGGCATCAAGACACGGGCGTAACAGTACACACTCTTGACGCAGCAAGTGAATGAGGGAGTAGTGGATGCGCTTCCTCTCCGTCGTCACGTGAGGCGGCATCGTCACCACCAGGTCCTGCCTGTGGACTTTACCTGGTTTGCAAATTTTGTGCAACGCTAAGGTCGGCGTTACTTTGAGAACTCATAACTCAGAAAATTTTCATCGAAAAGAGACTTGTAACCAGTAATTAGTTTGGTTCTCTGTTGTCATCGCGGCATCTTCGCGGCTTTCTCTGGTGTCATCTGGCGTCAAACAGCATTAACCGTTTTGACAGTAACAGAAATATTATTTTCTTGCCATAGAATTTTATTCTGGTTCTTATATTTAGCACTTATATTTAGTTACAACAACTCAGATTTTGTTCCATATCATTAGTAATTAGCTAAATAGCGAGTATGTAACGCGCGCCCATGTAAAATAAACACAAAAAGAATTTTTGGAAACATGTAATTATAAACTCCCACACCCTTATGATAACATTTGTATATTTGATATATCGAAAAGTACTAATACAAATAATTAAACAGCATTCTTTGGAAACTTATGATTATGATTATATAAATTAACTACACCGATATCCTTATATTTGACCGACAATTGCCGTAGCCGAAACTGAAACCAAAATTTCGGTCCGACACTTACATGTAAATCAGTATGCCGTTTTGCCGCTGCAGGGGTGCACATGAAAGAGTACGTACGATCGAGACGAGTTGCGCGGTGCGTTCTTATTCTCTTACGCGTGCCCCAGCAGTAACTCGGCATACTGCTCTGCATATAAGTGAGACACCATCACACCTCGTATATAGTACTTGGCCAAAAAGTTTCAGACACTCTGTATAGATAATACGAAAGATGTTTATATAAATTGACAAAGTGATGTAATTCTAAGATTGACTCACAAGCCAGAGGTCTAGAGTGTGAGTCCATCAGTGCTTACGCGCAGTAGCATGTGCCAATGTTCGTGCCATAAGTGGCAAGCGCGCACAACTGCGTCAGAAAGAACTCACTTCTCAGTTAAAAATATATTATTCAATTTAAAAAGTCAGTCATTTTATGTTTTCGTTGTCAAGAAATATAAATTTGATGTCAAAATTAAATAATTCTCAGTCCCTAATGCACTGGTTTCTGTTTAGGACTTTAATTTAGTTCGTTTTATCAGATTACTGTCTTCTACATTGATTTTGGAACTGAGGTTAGGCTTTCATAATATTTTTTGTTAAGTTAACTGAAATTTTAATAAAAATTTTCGAAAATCATAAGCACAGTTTACCTTCGTATCTTTTGAAATTGGAGCCAAGTGCAAATCGATCTTCCGAACATAGAAAAGAAATTGAAATCGTTTCGTGCGAGAATAGGTGAGATCGGGATCATTATTAGTGCTGTTGGATCGAAATATTATTGTATTGACCAGAAAGCAACTTCAATTATTCGAACAAAACGACTATGGATAAGAACGTAAAGGCGCATATACATGCGCATATGGCGGTTAAATGTTAATCTTTTCGTGACGGCAAAGTTGGTCATTGCTTACTCGGGTGGATAGATTTTCTTTAGTGGTACGTTGGAATAAATTTTAACACCGATTCCAGTGATAACCTGTTTAAAGACCTCTTCGAGAGCCGGTTTAATTTCATTGAAGATCATTTTGGAGTTTTCGTTTAATAATCTGTTCATCTCTTCACCTGCAATCAATGAAGTGAAGAAACAATTAATAGATAAATAGTACGGAGCAGATATAAACATAAAATTGTCCCACTTTAATAATCCATTTCTAAATAAATTAATTAAGGCTAACAAAATTTATAGTGTTGAACTACGAATTTTATAACTAGAAACTTGCCACGTTCTTCGAACAGACGTTTCAACATTGAAATTATGACGTACGAAAGATGTATACGATTGAAAATCGTGTTATATATAATATTGGCAATAAAAATGTTACTTATGTTAATAAGGATTATTACACAAGCCTCCGTACATTGATATGAATTTGAATTACACAGACCGATATAATATCTTTAATAATATCTACACGGCCAGCAAAATATATCATATAAATATAATTTTATATTTTACGTCTCTATTTTTGACTAATAATTGATATCATTGCCGTTTCTTTGAATAATATACAATAGTGCGCACAAATATGTCAACATGATGCGAGAAATTAAGAAATTCTAATAGCTTTCCTATTGTGTTACTAGAGATATTACGCTTATTATGCCGGTCGGTGTATACACTGCGTCATATACTTGTAATTTCAAAACGGTCTGAACACATTTTTTCTGTAGCTAGATACAAAGTTAATGGTCTAATAGAAAAACTTATTTTTCTTTAATTCTCAGAATTGAAATTCTTTCATTGGACATTTAGCTGTGTTCGAAAAAAAAGGTTAAAACTCTATTGAAACCAAGTGTACACTTTCTACCATTATCACGAAAAGAAAAATTTATTTGTACAACTTTCAATCTTCACACATGTACATAAGGGCTAAAACCGAACAAATAACTTTAGTTATTGTTTAGTTGGCCAGACATATATTACGCTCGATGATCACAAATAATACAGATCGTTTTTTAACGAAAGTACCTAAACTGTAATCCTTGCCGAAGAGATTTTCGAAATATCCTTTCAGATCGTTGATGTCATTGATGTGAAAAATAAATTTCTTGATCTTGAGATAAGTTTCTCCATCTCTTTCATACTTGTCGTACTCTACATCGAATGTAACTGTCATGTTATCTGAAAAATAATACAGTGCGATCGATGGCTGTCGACATTGCATTGAATGTTTATCGCTAGATATGTGAAGAATAAAGCAATCGCGCAATGTTTTGATTTATGAAAATACATATAAAGTATGTTATGGTAATTACAATACGTTGCTCTGCATTTGCCTTTTCCTTGAATTGGCAACAGTAAAATTCTGCCATTCATTTCGTAGTCACTAGTTACGTTCAATTGAGGAAAAACAGCCACGATATTGATCGCGAATGTATTTACGTCAAAACTATGGAAAAAAAATATCAATTACGGTTACATATATACACACGTCATATACATGAAGAGATCCACCGAAATAACTCGAATAGAGTCGGAGAAATTCAATTTTAGGCTTGTATATAACTAATCAACTGATCTAATTTTTTCAGTGAAATTTTTTGTTTTTTTTAATCTCTTGTTCATGTAGAATAAGTTCAAAATGAAGCGATCATAAAGTTCAACACATGATCGGCCGCATTTATCGTCAGATTTACTGGATTTTGCAACATAGGTTGAATTATTTATATTATGCAATTTGATCCATTTTTTTGGTAATTGAAAGAATATTTATATCATATATATAGTTACGTTTTAGTTTCTTTACTATTGATATAAATTTTGTAGTTCAAATCTCTAAATCAGATCGTTGATTTGATTCGATTTTTAAACATTTTCTACAACAAACTTTACCAGTTTCTATGACAAACCCATCAGAGTTATATAACTTTAAATTTATTTACCAGATTTTTTCAACGTATGATCTACAGAAGTATATCAACATACATATAGACACATATGCACGCACATAAAACAATATGACATTGTTACGTCCTGGGAACCTCGGAAACAACGAATCCTTCTTTTATGATTAGAAAACAGATTTGAGCAGCGCTCAAAATTGTAAAAAGGATTTGTAAAAAGGATAAGATTATACACCGCCAAATACGTCATGTGATTTTCAACGCGTCTATCATCATTTCGCCTTCACACGTGATCGGCCGGTTTCAGGCCCTTCGGATTAGGATCTTGGGATCGTTTATGACATCCTGATAATGTTAGGAGTTTTCTAGGTATACATTTCCCAACCTTCCATATCAGTTTTCCACGAAAACTGCTTTTATTGGCGATCAAAATCTGGCACTTCCCAAAATTTTCCCTATAAAAACCATACTCTCTGGCCACTCCAAGTCAGTGTCAGTCAGTCAGTGTCAGTCAGTCAGTGTTAGTCAAACAGCGTCATTCAGTCAGTCAGTAGCAGTCAGTCAGTTAGTCAGTCAATCACTTCTTCTTCTGCTACTGAATCACGCGCTGGGAAGTCGGGATCTCTTAAGTGAAATATTTCTCTTGGTATTCCGGGATCCCATAAGTCTGGTACATCACGATCAACGAACCCATGTTCTACGTACTATTCATCACAGTTGATTCACCTAAATCGTAAGCCTCTATTTCATATTTAAACATGACTTTTAATCATTTCAATCCGATCTCCAATCCCACTTCACTCCTCAAAACACACACATACATTGCATAATTATTATCTTCCTTGTATTATATAATAATGTTTTTCTCACCATACCGATACGTTAAACATTCTTGTTAAGTTAAATTCTATTGTATTATATTAAGTTACACGGATTACTCTTTTACTTAATCTTACTTTAATCTTCATCTTGTACTTGCATTATTCCAATAATGCTGATTTATAAAAGTTTGTTTAATATTAACCCACATATTTCATTGTTTAACTTTAGCTAACTTTTAGCTAAAGCTTTAGCTAACTTTAGCTAACTTTTCCAACTTTTGAATATTATATCTTTTACGATGACTTTTCTCATCAATTTACCATTATTATTAATCCATGTGAGAACAAAATTATGTTATTGGTATAATTAATAAACTGTTTTATTCAAAATGCCATAAATTTAACCAAGTTGTTAAAATTATTTATTCATTTCCTTTCAATTATTTAAATCTGAATTCCCCTTTCAACACTTTCATAGGGTCCTATCCCATATAAAGAGATCAAGTTCTTTGACCTAAATAAAGGACCACCTAACATAGGTTTTGCGGTCGGAGTAAATGAACCTCTCCGGACCTTGACCTGATCTGCAGACCTACAAGTACGTTTATGTCTCGCGAGTGATCCAGTAAGCCATGATTGTTGCGTACATCCTCTTCCAGGACGTAACAACATTTTATCTATATATTATATACCATGTTGATTGATAAGTATTTAGAATGAAAATGAAACAAACATTTTGTTAACAAAACTCAATTTTGTTCCTCAACATAATCTCCTTTTAGTTCAATACACCGAGTCCAATGAGTTTCTAGCTTTTTTAAGCCTTCCAAATAATGTTTCTAAACCGCCAAAATATGCGTCTGTTTCCCATTCAATTTCTTCATTTAAATCAAATCTCTTTCCTTGAAGCCATCTTTTGAGATTTGGAAACAAGTAGAAGTCACACGGGGTCAGATTTGGAGAATACGGTGGATGTGGGAACAATTTATATTTCCAATTTGTTCAATTTTGCCATTGCTTTCACCGATCTATGAGCTGGTGCATTGTCTTGATGAAAGAGAATTTTTTCTTCGCTAAATGAAGCCGTTTTTTCTTGATTTCAACATTCACTCGGTCCAATCATGAGGCACGATATTCTCCTGTGATTGTTCGTTCTTTTTCAAGATAATCAATGAGGATTATTCTGTGTGCATCACAACATAGAGTGGCTACAACCTTTCCAGCCGACTGTTGCGTCTTTGATCGCTTCGGAGCACTTCCTCTCTTTGGAACCCATTGTGCAAACTGTTGTTTCGATTCAGGTATACAATAGTGGATCTATGTGTCATCAACGGTTATGTATCGACGCAAAAATTACTTTTATTTGTTCCTAATTGTTGCCTAAACACGTCCAAACAATGCTGAGAAGTGCGAACTCGTTCATGTTTTTGATCGATTGTTAGTAATCGCAGCACCCATCTTGCAGTTAGTTTTCTCATACCTAACGAATAAATGTTCGTGTAGGATATTGAACACACATTCAGATGAGATGCCTACTGGTAGTTCACGCAATTCCACTTTGGGGTCATCCTACACGATATCATAGATTTTTTCACTCATTTCTGGTGTAGTCACCTCATTAGAACGACCACTGCATCGTGCATCCGATATGCTAGTACGACCACGTTTAAACTCAACAATCCAATTATATATGGTTGCATTCGACGGAGCAGACTCCGTCAAAGATTTTTGGAAGTCCTCAATCATTTCTTACGGTTGCAAGCCTTTCAAATAGAAATACGTATATAATCATGGTATGAATTTCACTTTTTGTTCCATTTTTACAAAATATCAGAGGTTAAGTGTTTTCGATGGCTGTCACAAATATATTATATTGATACAAATATATTGATTGTTATAGCTGTCTGCAACTGTGAAGTGAGAGGTTTGAAGGTTGAACATTACTGGAAATTCACGGCGCATTGGAGGTGGCAACGCCACTAAAGTGTCATTTTAAAGACTTACCAATCAACTTGATATAATGGCTTGAGTATTAAGGTTATAATATTTTCTTGAACGTGAACGTGAAGTTTGACGGTACGGGAAAGGCGAGTGAGGATTACGTACCTCTTTATGAAGACTTGCATATTTTTCGTCATTCCATAAATCTTCATATTCCGATATTCTTGTGTTACCGATACCGGACCGGAACTATTAATACGCATGTAATCGATTGCCAGCGGATCGATAGGTAAAATTTTCAATGCACTGTCACCTAGATGTAATCAGAAGCAGGATGCCATCAATTGTTTGCAACTGGAAATCTTGTGATAGCGTTAGAAAAAAAAATTACATTTCTCGGAATAATTTGAGATTAATTATTTTAAAAAGACACATAACACCCCATTTCTATTCGCTGTTTCCAATACTCTCTTACTACTATTATTATTATTACTCTTACCGATTCCCTCTTCCATTTTTTTCCTATTTTATGAGGGATGATTTATATAAAAAATGCCAGACTTAATTATTTCCAAAATTCATAAACATATAAAAACAGTTTATAATAGAACAGTAACATTATAGTTTCTTTTACATAATCTGATTTCTCACTTTCTTCTTTTTCTTTTCTCCCTTCTTCCTGCTCCTCTACCTTCTCTTCTCTCTCTCTCTCTCTCTCTCTCTCTTACTTCTTACTCTTAAAATGTCGATATAAGATTCTCAAAATGAATACTATCTGAACAATTTTATATTTTGTTCCGGTACTTTTACAGTGTAAAATATCTCTCTCTCTCTCTCTCTCTTACTTCTTACTCTTAAAATGTCGATGTAAGATTCTCAAAATGAATACTATCTGAACAATTTTATATTTTGTTCTGGTACTTTTACAGTGTAAAATATCTCAAAATATTATAAATATCTAGTTAAATAATATAAGACCGAAATATCTCATGAAGTATTTATTTCAATAATATGGTGTGAATATTTTCCTACATTGAATAATGAAAGAAATCAATTGATTATACCAATTTTTACTTACAATTTAGTATTAGAGCATCAGTAAAATAAAATGTAATCGGTTTATTTTCTTTTCTTACATCAATCTATTCCTCTCACCAAATCTCTTTTCATTCGCAATATCTTACCGCGTGATAGAAAGTAACATAAATGTACTTGCCGTTAGCTAAAACATTCAATGCTATTTTAAAAGCCTCGGAGATACATTTTTCGATATCCGGATCCGATAGCTTACAAACTTTGAAGCCATTGGCTGCAAATAGGAGAATGACATATTTTATATAATTTGTTAGATAATTCATAATGCATGGTTTCGATGCGTTAATATGTTGAAATATAAACTAAAATAGGGGAAATGGATTTTTTTATATCTGCTCGAATGCACTTTTAGGGAATAAAACATTATATTGAAAAAAATCGATTTTTTTTCTTTTATAAAAAGCATGAAAGATGGAATTATGTTTTCAATAAAAATCGAATGTTTTGAAGAGTATTTTACAAAGAGGTTTCCAGATTTGTCAAAAATGTTAAAATTCTTAACATTTCCTCACTCATTCCTTTCATAAACTATATAACTTTATTCTATCAAATAAAAGAACATTTTATGTCGAAACTAATTATATATTATATTCAGTCTCTATTGTAAGAGGATTTATTAAAGGTTGAGAGTTGGTACGGAAGTAACTGCCTTCAGTTAAATATTAAAAATTGCTTGTCATTAACTGCTTTAAAATATTCTATTTAACGTGCAATGTCATAGCTATCTGCAACTGTGTAATGAGAGGTTAGAAGGTTGGCAATACTGGAAATTTACGGCGCATTGAAGGTGGCAACACCACTAATATGTCATTATAAAAACTTATCAATTACCCTAGTATAACAAAATCAACAATAATACTGTAATACTAATTATTTTATGTACAATAATATATAAATGCTTCTTAAATTTTTCGTTATTTAGGAATATATGTACACTTTTGGCAAGTAAAAAAGTAATACTTTATGTATGTAAGATATGCAAAATGAACGTGTAGTGTGACGTACGAACGGCAAGATAGAGTTATAAAAAATATATTGATAGTGCCTTAAGAATTATGCATTTCATTACGGCCGACAAGATGTTTTTCCTGTTATCTGCGACCTGTCTACGGTATCATGTATTAAGTCGTTATATAACAAAAGCAAACTCATGCAGCTGTTCATTTTTTTCAAAGTTCAATCTCACGGTAAGAAATAGTACAATATTAAAAATACATATTCTAATTACATCTTCAGATATTCCAATATATTCCATAATTTCCATTCCAATAGCGATGCAAAATACTTTTCATTCTATGTGTCGAAAAGATATTTTCGCGATTACTCACGTAAATTTTCTGCCGTGATTGCAACAATCATGGACAAGATGATAACTGTCGTCTTCATTATCGCTGAATCTTTTCTTTCACGTTGATACGTTGATTCGTTGATAAGATTGAAAGTCAAACAATTTTCGTGGATGACAACTGTCTGTAAACGTTGAAAGAGAACTGTTAGTGATGATGTTCAAGCAATCTATTTAAAGCTTGTACATCCTTCTCTGCAATTATCCTTGTGTGGCGACGTTAGAAACAAAAAACGTGTCACGTGTCCGGTTCAGTATCGCTTGACCGTTCTTCGCTACTGTTCTAGTATCCTTTTTGCCCCGCTAAGCGGCAAGAGGAGGTGCGGTCGCGAAACTCCGTGTTCGCGATCTCGCCGGTGGTCCCGGGATCGCTCGCCGGATTGTCAGGTGTTCGTTGTTTGAGTGAGTGAGTGTGTTAACGAGTTGTGCTCGAATTCGTTTTATTCGACGTAGGTATTGGTACAGAGCAAGGCCGGAGTCTAGCACCGGAATTGTATCGGAGCCTTTTTAATATAAATATAATCGGAGCCTTTTTAATATAAATATAATGTTCAGCTAGTAAACATGGGCCGTCCACTGTTTCGCGGTATTATGCTCGGGCCTGCCGAAGTATCGATGCGTCAATTTCGGCGAATAACAGGTGCCGTGTATACGCGGTAAGAGATACACGTCTCGCGATACGCTAGACGTGAATCGTCTTGGCGCGCGGTCGCGGAGAGCGGGCGCGGTGTTGTGACTGCGAGCTTCGGTGTCGGTCGGTTGTTATCGTATGACGCGGTAATTCTTTAAATGCGTTTATTTGATGCAACGGTTCCGGATGCAGCCTTCGGAGGTATACTCGGCTAGCCGAGTTGTCCTGCACACGAGCGCTTCGGGACGGTTGCGGAATTTGCGCTACAGCCCGAGGGCACGCGGTACGAGGGTGGTCCCTGAAGTACCCGACCCAACAAAGAAAACACAAAAATTTTGGAAAAAAATGTATTTATTTTTCAACATAATCTCCTTTCAGCTCTATACACTTTTCCCAGCGATGTTCAATAAGTTCGATACCCTTTTTATAATAAGAACTGTATTGCTCCTCAAAATACTGCCGTCGTTCCTCGACCTGGAGATCGAGATCCGAAGCAGTCTTGTGATCATTCGATCTGACTGACTCCGGTGGAATCGGCCACTTTCCACGGTAGAGCGGGTTTATACGCCGCTCCCACCGTGTTTTCCGCAGTGTCGTTGCTTAATAACGGCACAAACCGCTGTTTATTTTACGTTTGACGTTGTGTTATTATACACGGCCGTCACACGTGTATTGTGTTTTCATTTATTATGGCGCAAAGCGCCGATAACTGCCCGACGGTTGGGTCGGTCGGGCCGCGGTGGATTTGCCGCTGTGACGTATCGTCACAAACGCGTGCTAAGAATTCCGGGATTATACGTTCTAATAAATAGATATACCTACAAAATGACATTTCCCAACTAACAACGAATCTGTTTTCTATTATTGCACGGACTGCATTAGCTAGCGTTCGTTTCCTTTTCCTCTCTTTCTTGAGATTTCGTGGGAAAGGAAGGAAAAGAGAGAACTAGTTCAAGCTATTTTGTAAAACATTTATTATTATATTGGGGAAAATGTGTATATAAAAATGCTCATATGCAGAATCCCCGAATAACTGCATGCGGAGAAAAATTACGTCAACGAAGGGCAATTCTTGGTATCAAACAAAGCAATTTTTCGTTTAAAGAAATTCTGCTCGAATGATAGTTTTTAAATGATTGTTATTCAAATTTGTCGAATTACTGTATTAGTTTACGCATAAGGCAAGAACGGCGCGCGGCTTGCAGAACCACGAAAACTTATTTCAAGAAGTCCTATCACAGTGCCTGACGTCCAATCATCGATGTGTTAAGCGACGTCCACCATGTACTAGGGTGAATGGGTGACCGCCAGGTCACAGTTTGAGGTTGAATTCACGCAAAAATACGAAAAAAACATGTGAAATGTTGAAACAGCTTTGGCGGTTACCGACAAGCAAGCAACCAGGTTGCCTCTCTTTTACTGACAATGTTTCTTGAATGTCGCAATGCAACATTGCTATAATATATTTTGCATTGTTCCTAAAATTTTAACATTATTACAACATTACGGCAACGTTGTACTAACATTTTATAACATAAATGAAGTATTACAATGTTTCTATGTAATGTCTGTGCAAAGTTCTTGCAAGCTTTTTGTACTGTTTATTGAATTACTACCATATTAATATTATTATATAGTTTATTCTTCTTATACAGAAAGGTTGCAGGCACGTTATAATCCAACAATTTTACAAGTATGCTGAATCGATCCCAAATTTCATGTTTGGCATATCTTTTTATTTCAACGTGTAATGTAGGAAATTTTGACATACGTTTTCACGTTTCTGACATCGTTAAACAAAGATAGTCATAATGAGTAGTCAGGAGCCTTGCGTAACCGAATGTGCGTAACGATCTCTTTGAAATATGCAAACAAGAACCTGAGGAAAAACAATATTATTGCAATTAATAAATTTTTTATATGATTGGGAAGCAAACGGACTTCGGGCAAGTGCTATTGTAAAAAGGATAAGATTACGATGATTCGCCGTTAAACGCGCCATGTGTTTCCCAACGCGTCTTTCACTTTTTCCGCCTTTACGTAAGACTTCGTTTCTCTCCAGCAGCGTTTCGCGAAAATAACGTTATCGATTATGTGAAAAATAACAAATTATAACAGTTATTTTTTTATAACATTTTTGTATTGCCTTCTGGACTGTACATTACATTATCCTCCTTACCCTCGAGTGGATGACACTCGTCTCCCGCATGACGGTGCACAAAGATCGCAGCAAGAACGATTATTGTAAAAGAATAAAAATTATAAAAGTTATATTTTTAAACTTATAATTTTTTTGTTTCATCCTCCCCTGCATTAATTATAATTCGTCGCGCGTTAGGAAAATATTGTGTTGAGGAAATATGTAAATTATATCTTTCTCGCGCTATAATGTCTACCATATTACCATATTTTCATCGGTTCCAACATTTTTGCGATGATTTCGCAAGGGAGGAAAGATTAAATGTATACGAGGTCTGTTCAAAAAGTATCGCGAATTTTGAATTTCCGCGGGTTACGTATATTCGATTTTCGATTTTTTTGTGGCGTTATGTTGGTACTCATGTCCCTCACTTATGCCGACAAGTTCGGCCATTTTGAATATTCAGTTTATCTTTGACAGCTGTTGCTTGGACGTGTTTTAGCTCGTCTTCGATTTTTGTCCATTCCAAAAAATGGATCAAAGAATCTGTATCAAATTTTGTGTGAAGAACAAAATTAAGTGCGCGGACGCATTCCGAATGTTGACTGTGGCATATGGTGAAGCTACCTTGGACCGAAGCAACGTTTATCGGTGGTACAAAATGTTCTCAGAGGGCCGAGAAGATGTGAACGACGAAGAGCGTGCCGGACGCCCGAGCACGTCAACAACAGACGAAAACATTGATGAAGTGAAGAAAATAGTATTGGCCAATCGTCGAATCACCGTTAGAGAAGTTGCTGAGGACCTAAACATATCGATTGGCTCGTGCCATTCGATTTTTACTAATGATTTGGGCATGAGACGGGTCGCCGCGAAATTCGTACCAACGCCCTTGCTCACACATCGTTGCTTGTGCGCGAAGTTTTGGTCAAAAACAACACACTAATGATGCCGCAGCCACCAGACCTGGCCTATTCCCCAGACCTGGCCCCCTGTGACTTTTTCTTGTTCCCGAAACTGAAGAGGCACATGAAAGGACGACGCTACGCTACGATTGAGGAGATAAAGACGGCATCGAAGGAGGAGATGAACAAGATCACAAAAAATGATTTTTGGAAGTGCTTCTAGGATTGGAAAAAACGTTGGCACAAGTGTATAATATCTGATGGGGATTACTTTGAAGGGGTCAAAATAGATATTCATGAATAAATAAATAATTTTTGAAAAAACACAAAATTCGTGATGGCGTAACAGTACACACTTTTCTCTTGACGCAACAAGGGAATGAGGGAGTAGTGGATGCGCTTCCGCTCCGTCGTCGCGTGCGACGGCATCGTCACCACCACGACCTGCCTGTGGACTTTGTCTGCTTTGCAAATTTTGTGTAACGCAAAGGTCGGCGATACTTTGAGAACTCATAACTCAGAAAATATTCACCGAAAATGGGCTTGTAACCAGTGATTAGTTTGATTCTCGGGTGTCGTGGCGGAGATTAACCGTTTTGACAGTAACAGAAATATTATTTTTTTGCCATCGAATTTTATTCTGGTTCTTATATTTAGCGCTTATATTTAGTTACAAGAACTCAGATTTTGTTCCATATCATTAGTAATTAGCTAAATAGCGAGTATGTAACGCGTGTCCATGTCTAATAAACACAAAAAAGACTTCGGAAACTTATGATTATGGTTATATAAATTAACTAAACCGATATCCTTATATTTGGCCGAGAATTGCCGTAATCGAAACTGAAACTAAAATTTCGGTCCGACACTACTTACATGTAAATCAGTATGTCGTTTTGCCGCTGCAGGGATGCACATGAAAGAGTACGTACGATCGAGACGTGTTGCATGGAGCGCTCTTATTCTCTTACGCGTGCCTTAGCAGTAACCCGGTATACTGCTCTGCATATAAGTGAGACACCATATACGTATTTGGACTATTGCTTTCTGTATGTTCATTAGTGAATATAAAATAATAAATTTCTTTAACTTAAGCAAATTTTGCAAAATGTTACAAGACTTTCTTATTCAGCTTAACTCGTTCTACATATATGTAGTACTTGGCCAAAAAGTTTCAGACATTCTGTATAGATAATACGAAAGACGTTTATATAAATAAACAAAATAAGGTAATATCTAAGATGATAGATTCGCAATCCAGAGGTCTAGAGTGTGAGTCCATCAGTGCTTAACCGTTTAAA